GTTGCTACATCGCACCCTGACTGAGCCGGTAAATCTTTTTAAGAGCACACAGCCTCATCATCATTCTCCCTTGGAGCACCTCGTGGGTCTGAACCGCTGACCTTGTAGCTGGCAACCCGTTGTACCACTAGGGCTGCTTAACACTCAACCAGCCAGCTAAGACAGTGGGCACATCGTAATAAAGAATAAGACATCAACATAGTCCCCAAAGAGACAAAGGTGGTTTTAACTGGCATTGCAACCCGTGCTCTTTCTCATGGAGGTCCAAAGTCAAAAGCAGGGTCAAGTGGACTCCCCGGCCATGCTTACCCTGTTTCACGGCGTGCTTTTCTTGCAGGGCTGGCTGGATTTTCTCCATCTGCTTGGTGAGGAAGTCAATCTTCCTCTTGAAGAAGTCCTTGGCATTCTCAGCTGTCTGCACAGACCAGAGGTGAGTGGGGCTAAGAGTGGACCTCACTTGGCAGCACCTTAGAGCGCTCCCTAGATTCCTTTTCCCTGTTCAGAGGGGTACCTCACACGTCTTCCCACTCACCTTCTCTACATAGTAGCCTGTTCCCACATCGATGAGCACATGGTCCACGTCATGGAGCTTCCCGGGGACATACATCTGACAAGGAAGGATTAAGGGGAAAACTAGGCCAGCATGAGCCATGACTCTGTCAGCCAGTTTGGCTTGGCTTCCAGGACCCCCCTTTTCTGAAATGCTCCAAGACACACCCTCCTGGCAGCTTTTGTTCTTTCTTCCCATGAGCCTTTCCAGAAAGCTTACATCCAGTGAGGTTTCCTACTGCTCAAGTGTGGGAAAAGTCGGCCAGATTCCTCACCCTCCACGCCCCACCCCTGCCCCGTGCACTCCTATCCACGGACTGGCTAATTCCTAATGGCGTCGATGTTCACTATTTAGCCATTCCCAACTACATTGCTAGCCCTGCGTCTCCCTGGCTGCCTGTCAGTTCCCAGACTGCACCTGAAAGCCGTCCTGCTGCAGCTTGCTCCCTCATGCCAATTACTCAAGAGGTGGGCCAGTCCTGCTCCCTAGTGACAGCACACCGTTCAGCGGAAATTGAGGATTAAGAGACATTCTGTCCTTCTGTTTCTATATTCTATTCTTCTATCAAGGTGACCAGCAAACGTGTAAGTCACCCATTCTCTCTCACCAATGTCATATATTCAAACCATGGGAAAACTATCACACTTCAACACTACACATTCCTTGATACTCACAGGACATTAGCTGGATGGTGGCCCCGGGTTTGCTAGGGGCGCTAGAAAGTGTGGATCCTAAAAGGAAGGTGCTCAGAGCCATGGGTGGGCTGTGGAATAATCACCGCCACCCCCTTCTCGTCCCCAGGGAGAGGAAAGCAGAAGGCAGGGCGCAGTCCAGAGGAAAGGATACAGAACTCGTCAACGGGACAAGCAATTCTTTCCCTGCGAAGGCAATGAAGACAAACACCTGGCACACGTCGGCAACCCCGAAGTTAACGAGATGAAAAGGGCCCGAAAACAGGGTGACAGGGACAGCGGTGACACTTACACACAGACACTCCCGGCCTACTCACGCTACAGGCAGAGGGTTCCTGACGCCCAGTCAGGAAGCAGGGGTTGTTTTCTCGCCCCGGGTTAGGAAAACCCGCGCGGCCCAGCGGGTGTGCCCCCTGCCCATCGCCCCCGCCCGCCTGGCCCGTACCCTCGTTGGTCCGGTTCAGCACGTTCAGACAGTCCTTGGCTTCCACATACTTGGTCTGGACCACCTTGAGCTGGGCGATGGACGTGGACAGGAACTCCACTTCCTAAGAGACGGGGAGCGGGTCAGGCCCGGGTCCGGGGAGGGCAGCGCCGGCCGAGAGGGGCGGGTCCTGGGCGGAGGCTGGGGTTTCGCCGGGGAAGGCAAGCCTCCCAGGCGGGGCCGGCGCGGGCCGGGGAAGTAGCCCGAGCAGCGCAGGTGTGAGGCGGAAACGAGGCCCGTTCCCACCTGGTCCAGCTGGTTCTTGAGCATTTCTAGCTGCGGCAGGTTCAGCTCCGTGATGTTAACCGACTGCGCCATGTTGGGAAGGAGGACTAACGGAGGGAAAGCCGGCTCGGCGAGTGGCGCTCTAGCCGTCCGCCGCACATCTCTATGGCTGCGCTCGGCGGCTCTCTGCGCCTCACGGCTCTATGACCCTCCATCCCGGAAGGGCAGAGCGGCGGGAGGCCTGTCCCGGGCGTGCGGAGAAGGGAGGACGAACCTCATGTTATAGAATAGCCTGAGCGTGGGCAAGCAAAGCGGTCGCAACAGGACTCCTGCCCTCTAGGAGCGTAAAGATGACAGGGACTCAATATTGCTACGCGAGGCGTGCAGCTCCACGTGGTGGCCGGGACTGACAGGCCAGGAGGAAGCTGGTTGGGCGGCGGGCGGGGCCACGTGACGGAGGTGCGGTCCCAGGCGGCTGGGTGGTGGGCGGGCGGTGCGGAGGCCTTGCAGGCGTAGTGCCAAGCGCCGTACGAAGGGCCCCCACCCCGTGTGTGTGTGTGGGGGCTTTCATGTTGCCGTGCCACGTTGGGAGCGATGCCACCAGTAACTTTGCACCCTGGCAGGGGCCACCCACGGTGGGAAGGTTTCAGAGGCGCTGCCCAAGATTGACTGGGAGGACGGACAGACGCCATTCGCGCTTCAGCGAGTGGTCTAGCTGAGGCGAGGACAAAACACAAACACCGGAAACCCGCACGAAAACGCTGCGCAGCACGTGGTCCTGACAAGTGTACCAGCTGGACCCAGGAGAACAACATCCACTGAGCAGGGGCAGGACCGCAGGGTCGCAGCTGGTGCCACACGCAGGATAGAGGCACGAAGGCCATTGCCAAGGCTGAGGACTATCCGTCCCTTCCTCGGGCCGTTTCTGAGGATTCTGATGCTCCCCCCTCTTTCAGCTCTGTCAGGCCAGCTAAGCTAAGCTAGCTGGGCTCTGTGGTTTTTGGACATGAACTCCTCCTGCATGCTGTTCTCACTCCCTAAGTACCATGTCGGAAGTGGGGCAATCACCTTGTCTTCAAGAGTTCTCAGACAAGTTATGTAAAATAGCTTAAATAACATCTTTATTATATTACAGTTAAGTCACAAGGAGAGGTTTGTGTATAAAAGTGGGGAAATCTCGAGCGAGTAAGGAGGTCAAACAGTCACAGGGCTCCAGTTCCACTGTGTCACCGGAGAGAGACAGGCAGGCCATAGGCTACTGGGGCCGCTCCAATCAGATACTTGAGCCGGGGAGCCTGGCGGGCCTGGGTGACGTAGCAGAGAAGGGGGGCCCCTGGGCCTGCTCCGAGCCAGCCCTGCAGCAGAGCTGACGTGTAGCGGTCGATGTCACGGTCAGTCACATCCCAGAGGTTTCCCAGAAACAAGGGGCTGGGAAGAGACGGCAGAATTCTAAAGTTACGGGCTCTGAAACAGACTACATAGGAAAACATGACTGGCTGCTGCAGGGAGGTGAGTCCAGAGGACTGGACTGAGAAGGAGCGCCCTTGACCCACAGTTCTAAGGGCTAATAGTCCAGGCAAACCAGGAGGCTAAGATGGGACAGAAGTGGGATGTGAGAGTGAAGGCTGCCGGTTCTCTTGGGGCGGGCCCAAGAGTCTGAAAGCCCCGAGAAGGGCCACTCACCAGCCAGCCATGATGTACTTGAGCACGATACCAGCCCCTTCCAGGTCCCCATGCACGGCCAGGGCCGCACTGCTGCAGCCAAACACCAGGGACACTGCCCGGCAGCTCAGCCGCAGGACAGCCTGACCATCCAGGAAGCGGGCACCAGCACCGTGCCCAGCATAGCTGTGGCAGAAGGGGGTGAGGAAAGATTATTCTTGCCCTCCAAGCACCAGTCTCTGCCCCAGAGCAAACCACGGGGTCCCATCCTGGGTGGCCCCGCCCCCACCTCTGCCCCAAGCACTCACATATATAAGTCATGCTCTGTCAGGGCCGCCTGCACCTGCTCCAGGCTGGGGACTGCTCCGATCACCCCTCTCCAGCCAGCTTTGCTGCAGTGGGGATTGGGGGAGAAGGCAGGACAAAGAATCTAAGGATGGCATATGGCAGGGTCACATGGCAGAGGGGGCACTGGGTCGAAGGTATTCTACAGCACCTTTCAGGCTCAAAGGGCCTCCTGACCTGCTAAAAGTGGCTCGGAATTGCTCCTCGGTGCTGGGCAGGTTATTGTGAGGATTCAAGACGTAGAAGGTGCTGCGTGCATCAACGCCTTGGCTCAGCACGGACGAGACCCCGGACTGAGGAGAAGACAGCGGGATTCAGGAGCCTGGTCTGGCCAGCACAGTGCACTCCTCACTCGTTCCGTGACCCCCTCACACCTCCAGAGCCCCTGGCTTCTGTCTTCCAGCAAGCCCCTCCAAAAGCGTCACCCCCAGGATCACCTCGGGAGCCCCACCTCTTTGGTGATAGAGTAGGTGAGCAGGAAGCGGAAGGAGGGAAGACGGGTGAGAGACAGTCCCCGGAGGCTGGGCATGCTCTCCCATGGCAGCTTCTGCAGGTCCTGGGCAAAATGTATTCAGAGGTTGCTGTCTCCACCCAGGTAGGTATCCATCGAGGCAGAAGGGGCATGGGGTGGGGGATGGCGCCCACCGCCCCTCCAGCCTGCAGATCCTCACCTTGTCTAGCACCAAGACAAGGTGCCCAGTGCCTGGCACTGTCGGCACCTGTAAGCGTCCCACAGCGTCACTCAGCAGCTCTCGAGCTCGCTCAGGCTGGGCTGGGCACAGCCTGTAGGCCAGGGCCTGAATGTCTTGAGGCGCAAGAGCACTGGCCCCACTGAGCAGGACCTGTAGGGGATAGTCACCACTGCCATCACCTGCCCACCCACTCACAGGGGGCGATGGTTGAATCCACCATCTGGCAGCTGCTTCCCCACCCTGCTCCCTTCACTCACCTGCAGCAGCGTGGCATTGGGATATTTCCAGCCACATTCCTGCAGCAACGCCAGTAAGCGGGAAGCCTCCTGGGCTGGGCCGGGGTCCTCCCGAGATGGCAGCAGCAGCCCCCGCCAGCAGCCCAGCACATACTTCTCTAGGGACGTGATGAGAGCCTGGCAGGGGCAGAACAGGACACCAAGGCTTCAGCCTGAGCAAGCTGAGTTTCCTGCCCCACAGACACGGACACTCTGGGTTTTGCAAGGGGTAGTATTTGTCTTGGCTGTCTTTCTGCCAGTCACAGAAGGCAAGATTACAGGGGTCCTCAAACTTTTTAAACAGGGGGCCAGTTCACTGTCCCTCAGACCCGTTGGAGGGCCGGACTATAGTTTAAAAAAAACAAACAACTATGAACAAATTCCTATGCATACTGCACATATCTTATTTTGAAGTGAAAAAAACAAACGGGGCAAAAACACCCGGCGGGCCAGATAAATGTCCTCGGCGGGCCGCATGTGGCCCGTGGGCCGTAGTTTGAGGACGCCTGGGCAAGAAGCTAGAAACATGCTGGGAGAGCACAGCTGGTCAGAGGGCTACTTATCACTGTTTTAACGAATGAAAACCAGCTGCCGTCAACTCCATTCCAGCTCAAGGCGACCCCGTGTGTACCTGAGTAGAACCGGGCGTCAGATTCCCATGGCTGGGATCTTCTGGAAGCAGGCTGGCAGGCCTTTCTTCCAATGCCCCTCAGGGTGTGTTCAGACCAGCAACCTTCCCGTTAGCAGCCGCCCAGAGTAGTCTGACAGGGAGGCCAAAGCTGGGAAACGGATGCTTACGGGGGCCTCCACCCCTTTCTTGTTTTTCCTTGAACACCTTCCTAACCCCTCCACGTGCTGGCTGGGCTCACGTTTAAAGTTCTCCTCAAGTAACAACACATTTTATTTCTGCCTTTCTCACTCAAAAATGGGACTAGAGGAAGCTAAGCACCGAGCTGGGGCCCCTGAGAGAAAAGACGCCAGCACCCTGTGGCCCCTTCCCTGGGCAGGTCTGCCCCCAGGCCCTGGCGCACACACCTCCATCCTGCGGTCCAGATCAAGCCGCCCCAGCCACCATTCTCGCTTGTCAGTGCAGCCGCTGTTCTCTTTCTGCGCCTTCTGGATGGCGTCAAACTCCCTCAGGGCCGAGCTCAGAGGAAGCTTTGGGGGATGAGCAGGGAGACTCCTGTTGGTCTGCGTGACGGTGATCCCTCCACCCCCTGCCCACAGAAGACCAGCAGCCTGACCCAAACCCAGCCGGCACGGCCACCACCCCAGGCCTGGGAAACTACCTTGCATTGAGCGGTGGGGATCTGCACAGTGACCGGGGGGCTATCCTTTTCCAGCCGGGTCAGCAGGAGGGTGTTGCCCACCGTTCCAGGCTGGAGGGTGGCCAGGGCCAACACACACACCGTCACCCCTGACATGGAGGACACACCGAGTCATCTCAGCAGTAAAAAGGAATTCCCTTCCTTCCCTCGCTCCTGCAGGAATCCCGACCCTATCCATCATGGAAGGCAATCCAGAGGTCTCCCCTGGCCCACCCAGCTACCTGCGGACAGAGCCCAGCTCTCCTACTTCCATGTGCCTCTTGAAACCCCCAACAAAGGCCCTCCCACAGTGAGGCACAGCAGGCATCTGTTACCGAGCTTCAGGGCGACCCCGGACTGCTGAATCCAGCCCCACAGAAAGACACTGACCAACTCTGCCTCCAAGTGGAGGTGTGCAAGCAGATGATTCCCAGAGTGGAGGTCTGCCTGTCTGGTGAGAGAGACAGAATGGCTAACGGAGGGAAACAGCTAACATATCACATGTGCCTTTCTTTCCGTGTGGCTCCTAACTAAAGCCTTTCCGGACTCCCTCCAGCTGCCCGGTAAGGACATAGAGACAGAAGAGCAGGCCAGCAGCCTGCCATGGTACCACTGGGGATCAGGGCCAGGCGCTCCTTGAAACACTCCTTCTCCGGCTGGGGGAAGCGGCCAGAATCGGAGGCTCTGAAGGAAAAGAGGCGCAGGATGCGGGCCAGGGGGACAGTTCCAGCCGGCTCCTGGAGGCTCAGCCCCTTCAGCTGCTCTGCCACGTCCAGAGGTCCTCCCTGGGACTTCTGGGCTTTGCTGCAGGCAACACAGGTAGGGGTGAGCTTCCACACTCCTTCGGCATCTAGACCCTTCCTCCGATCTGTCCCAGCCTGGGTCTCCTCCTGCTCTTAGGAAGGCTCCTCGTAGTCCTAAGGATGGCGGCCACTCACCTGAGCTGCCTGTGGAGGTGGGTGAGCAGCTGGTGGCGGCAGGTGATGGAGACAGACTCGGTGACAAGGCAGGCAGTGGCATAGGGGTCACGGTGACCCAGACACAGGGCCAGGAGGCGGCAGAGGTGGGCATAGAGCCCACTGGGAGGGCAGTGGCTGACCCCACGGAAAGCAAGGCTCAGTGAGTCACAGAAGGCATCCAGGGTGGAGAGACCTGGAGGGACATAAGACACAGCTCCAGATGCAGCCCTTCTTTCTGCCCAGCCTCCGTTACCACGGGTGCTGCATGAGTGACTTAGAAGTGGCGTGACTATCCCCCACCCAAAGCCCTTGGGGTGGTCGGCACTTTGCAGGAAAGGAGACAAAGGTCAGAGCGTGGAAGCAATCTAGCGCACGGCCGCTGGGGTGAGAGTGCTGGGGGTGAGAACCAGGCTCCAAGGCTACTGGGCCCAGCCTGGGGCCCCAAGCCTGCACAGAGGGAAAAGGCCCTAGGATCAAGAGACCTAGAGGCGCGTGCCCTCTCCATGGAACCAGTGGTCAGGCAGGGGCCAGCATACTCACCGATGGCTTCAGGGGCTGAGACAGTGCGGAGCCGAGGGCCCAGGGCGTCGTCAGGCTCCTTGTCTGGGCCCGGTGCGGGCAGCTCCTCCCTGCTGACGTCCCGTCGCAGGACCTCACACTCTCCCATGGCAGCCTCAGGTCCTGGAGCTGGTGCCTTCCCACCTGCCAAGGAAATGCCTTTCTTCTAGAGCTCCCTCCGGCCGGCTGCCCCTACCACCGACACTAGTTACCTCTCAGCTGCGGTCCCAGGACAACCCCCAAGTAAGTCACCTCCCCTCCGTACCTGAAGCTGCGTCTTCCCCGTCAGAGCCCCTGAGGACCTCAAAGCTCATTTCCAGTCGGCTGTTGGCCAGTTCCTCCTCAGGGATGGCCCTCAGGGTCTCGGGGCCTGTCACCTCACAGTGTGCAGACGCCACCTTCTTGGCCCTCCGAGTCCTGCCACTCCGGCCAGGGGGCCCAGGGGCACTAGCTGGGGCCAACATCGCCGTAGTCTTTGAACTCGAGCTCTGCCTGGTCTGGCCCCGGGCTCGGGCCCGGCCCCTCGAAGCAGAGCCCCGTCTCTTTGGCTCCTCAGTAAGTCGTGCCCCTGTTGAGACAGGGTCTTCCAAGTCACTGTCATCACTGAAGGTCACCTGGGTGGGCGGGAAAGAGACCAGGGCCAAGGGGGCTCAGTGGCAATACACCTTCTGACAGCAGGTGGCGCTCTAGAGTCACCCCCTCCCCAAGCTGAAGCCTTGACCTCCCAGAGGTCTCCCTCCCTCCCTCCATCAGAGATGGTGCAAGGTGGGACAGGAGGGGACAAAAGGATGAAAAGGGAGAACAGAGTCAAGGAAAGTCTTTCCAAGGGAAAGAAAGGCCACTTTGATCAAGGTCTGGCAGTGGAAGACCCCAGGGTCGGCTAGGTAGTGAGGAAGGGCCCCCTGGGCCCTGGGCTGGATTCCATGGAGACACCTGCCCCGCAGAACTCTTCCTCAGGACAAGGCCCACCCACCACCGCCCCACCTCACCTTGAGGCGCGTCTGGATCCTCTGTTGCACCCTGGGGGCCTTGGGAACCTCAGGCTTGCTCTTCTCCAGGAAGGCTTCTTCAAACACAGTGAAGGGGATGCCAGGGCCAGCCTGCCTAACCCGGCCCAGGGGCTTGGGTGTACATGGCGGTCCTCCCCGGTCCAGACCTTTCAGAGAGGCATTATGGGATGGCAGGGTGGCAGGGGTCACCTTCTGGCGCCCTGATCCCAGAGGCTTCTTGCTCCGAGGCTTGACGGGCTCTGAGCCAGGGAGATCCTTTAGTACGGGTGGCTGCCAGTCCCAGGAGTTGGCAAAAAGTTGGGCAGTACAGCAGCTGAGGCCAGCCAGCTTTGCAAGGGCCTGCGTCAGCAGCAGGCTGGCTCGCCAAGGCTCCAGGAGGGGGATCCTCGCTGCCACAAACTTCAGCCCTGACTCCAGGACCTTCCCCAGGCTCTTCTTATCTGACGGCTGGCTCAGGCCCTCCAGGGCCAGCTGTGTATACGCTTGAGCCAAGAGCTCGTCCAGGAGGCTTGGGGCAGGGGCAGGGGGGGCTCTGTGACTCAGGGAAGCCTGCAGGGCTTGCGCAAGGCGCTTGGTGGCCGAAGGACAGCCCTTTAGCACAGCTTGCAGCAGGTCCAGACCCTGGGTCTGATGGCCCATGGCCAGCCTCACCCCTGCTGTGACCAGTGCCCAGCGCAGACAGACGGCCGAGAGGACGGGGCTGGCACAGAGTGGGCAGTCACAGGTGGGGGCGTGGGACAGAAAAGCAAGGCTGGGCTGGGGTTTGATTTTCAGGATCGGGGAGGAGACAGTGGCTGGGGCTGTGGAGCCAGGCTCCTTGGCCACAGTGGCCACGAACTCCAGAGCAGGGCCTTTCAGGAAGAGCTCCTCCTCCGGGAGCTCTGGAGAGCGGAGGGCCCGGGTCTGCCGCTTCCCCTTCTGAGGGCGGACCTTCTTCATGGAGTCTGGGTGCTGGGCCAGCTCACAAAACTCTGAGGAGAAAACAGAACAAGAATTATAAGACTGAGAGAAATGGTACCAAGAGCCTCTTGGACCACTCCAGGGCTTAGCCCTCTGCTAACTGTGCTGTTTACAAACCGCATCATGCTTAGTAGAGGCTCAGCAAGAAAGACCTCCAACAAGGTAACAATGGACAAGTCTAAGGGCAGAGCAGGACCAGGTTGTATTTTGTCCTGTGGCATGCAGGGTCACTAAGGGTCAGAGCTGACTCAAAGACTCCTAAAAACATCAGCAGCATGCTAATTCGGGCTTAGTATTTTTCTTCCTACCTAAAAACGGACCCACATGAACTTAAAGGCATCCAAATTGGCAAAGAAGTAGTAAAACTCTGTAGATGATAGGATCCTATAGAGTAAAGCCCAAAGGCTCAGCAAGAAAATCACTGTAACTAATCGAAAGATTCAGCAACGTGGCAGGGTATAAGGTCAATAAAAATCAGCCAGATCCTATGTACTAACAAACAGAGGTCTGAAATGGAAGTCAGGAAAATAATACATTTGCAAGTCACCCGAAAGGTGAAATATTTAGGAATAAATCTAACCAGTGAAACAAGACCTGTACGCAAAAACAATAAACATTTACCTACAGGAACCAAGAAATCTACACAAATGGGAGAATATTCCAGGCTCATGAACAGAAAGATTTAACACAGCCAGTACTACTACTGAAATTGATTGGTAGATAAAGATTCCAGTAACATTCTTTAAAGAGATGGAAAAGTGAATTCTCAACTGTGTAAGGAAAGGAAGGAGGTCTCCGATAAGCAAAGCTCTACTAAAGAAGAGAGTAGGAGGCTTCACACCTCAAAACCTACTACTCAGCCACAGTAGTCAAAACAGCCGAGCTCACAAGTACATCCACCAGGTGATCCTACGGATCCTACGGATCACCTGGTCTTTGACAAGGGCCAGAGCACATTAAATGGGGGAAGAGGCAGTCTCTAACAAATGGTGCTGGCAAAACGGAATAGCCATTTGCAGAAGAATGAAACAGAACCCGTATCTCGTACCACATACAAAAACTAACTCAACATGGAACAAAGACCTAACTGTGAAACCTAGAACGATACAAGATCACCAATGAAGAAACAGGGATGACTGGAAGGGGCCGGATGCATAGTATAGGTAGTAAACAGCAGAACATAAAAGGGTGACTCCTGAAAATTAGACAAATTAGGGCTTAGTCAAAAGACTTCACCAAAAGTAAAAAGAGAACCCACAGAATGGGAATGAATTTTGGGTGATGACATCTCAGACAAGACTCATCTCAAAAATCTAAGGAAGACTTCCACACCTCACTGAGGAAAAAGACAAATGACCCAGTTTAAAAGTGAACAGATGATATGAACAGACATGTCACCAAAGGAGACCTGCAGGAGGCCAACAAATATATAAAGAAATGCACGCAATCATTAGCCATCGAGAGAGGAAATCAAAATGAGATAGCACCTAATCCCAGCATGGGGCTCAAAGTTCAAAAAAACTGGAAAACAATAAACACAGACGAGGGTTGTGGAGTGACTAGAACCCTCCTACACTGCTGTGGGGACTGGAAAATGGTGCAAGCACTGTGGAAAGCGGTACAGCAGCCCAGCAATCGCTCTACTTGTTGACGACCTAAAGAAGCCAGAGCCATGGCATGAAGAGGCCTACATGCACACTCGGGTTCACTGCAGCAGTGCTCACGGTAGCACAAAGATGGGAGAAACATAAATGCCCACCAGTAGAACAATGGATAGCTAAACATTGGTACGTACATACGACAGAATATGAGGCAATGTTAAAGAATCACATTGGATCTGTGAAACACCTCATAACACGGACGAACCTGGAGGACATCATGCCGAGTGAAGTGAGTCAAAAGGAAAAATCTTGTATGAGACCACACTATAAAACATCAAGAAAAGGTTTTCGCACTGAAAGCCACATACTGTATGGTTACCAGGGACCGGAGGGGCAGGGAGGGAAGAGCAGTCCCAGGAGAGCAGGTAGACAGGTACTACTTGAAGGAGAGACAACTCAGGTGAAAGGGA